GGCAAGTGATGCACCATTGAATGATTTGATGCTGTTTCAGAGAATAAAAAGATATGCTGAGGTACACAAGATTGTTTCACAAGCAGCTTTGAAGAAATTGCAGAATCACATGTGGTATCTTGGAACAGAAATGGTTCCTCTTTCACTGTTCTCCAGCAAAGTATCTGATGAAGAAAAGAAGTTGATTGCGGAAGCCATGATCCTCAGTGGAGATGATTGGAGTGTCAGGGGAAACAAGTTTCCAGTATCAAAATGTAATGAGTTGGAGAAAAAGCAACTACATGAACTGGTAACATCATCATCAACAGCTGCATTGCAGTCACTTGGACTTGACATAACTACCTTGTCAGGACTTGAGCCCCCGAGTTGGGAAGAAAGTGCTTCATTTCGAAAAACCAAAGCTGTTGTTGCTTCTCTCAAGGTTATCAATGATACTGCCGAGCGCTCTATTGCACTGATGAGTTCTTTAAACCAGTCAATAACAAAGACAGAGTCTGAAATGCAGAAACTCCTCCAAGTTGTTGAGGACAACAGGAAGCGCATTCCAGATTACCGGAAAAGCACCCTGATGGCATATGCCCCTCGGTAGACGTCGCAAGCTTGAAAACTGAAATAAGTTGAACTTTGAACACGTGAACAATAAATGAGCATGCAATAAAAATCTGAACGAACATGTTTAAAAATTGCTGTTAATTTCTTTGATATTAATTTTGATAAATTAAAAATTGTTAATGTGTGACTGATTGTGTCTGCACTGTCTGTGTCATAACCAGTATGTCTTTTTGAAATGAATAGTAATGTATCTATCACATTTTATCATCTTGTGATTCTAGTTTGAAGATTTCAGTCAAAAAAGTGCAGCCGCGGCAAGTTTATCTGTACTGTTAAACTTCACCTCCATTGAGCAACTTGTAAATATCAAAATATAAATGCCAAAATTTGCATAAAAGTTAGTTTCCATCAAAGGAACAAAATGAGATACTGTGCTAGGTTGAATTCAAAAATTTTTTTTTTTGGACATACCTAATATATATATATATATATATATATATATATATATATATATATATATATATATATATATTAGGTATGTCCAAAAAAAAAAATTTTTGAATTCAACCTAGCACAGTATCTCATTTTGTTCCTTTGATGGAAACTAACTTTTATGCAAATTTTGGCATTTATATTTTGATATTTACAAGTTGCTCAATGGAGGTGAAGTTTAACAGTACAGATAAACTTGCCGCGGCTGCACTTTTTTGACTGAAATCTTCAAACTAGAATCACAAGATGATAAAATGTGATAGATACATTACTATTCATTTCAAAAAGACATACTGGTTATGACACAGACAGTGCAGACACAATCAGTCACACATTAACAATTTTTAATTTATCAAAATTAATATCAAAGAAATTAACAGCAATTTTTAAACATGTTCGTTCAGATTTTTATTGCATGCTCATTTATTGTTCACGTGTTCAAAGTTCAACTTATTTCAGTTTTCAAGCTTGCAAAGTCTACCGAGGGGCATATGCCATCAGGGTGCTTTTCCGGTAATCTGGAATGCGCTTCCTGTTGTCCTCAACAACTTGGAGGAGTTTCTGCATTTCAGACTCTGTCTTTGTTATTGACTGGTTTAAAGAACTCATCAGTGCAATAGAGCGCTCGGCAGTATCATTGATAACCTTGAGAGAAGCAACAACAGCTTTGGTTTTTCGAAATGAAGCACTTTCTTCCCAACTCGGGGGCTCAAGTCCTGACAAGGTAGTTATGTCAAGTCCAAGTGACTGCAATGCAGCTGTTGATGATGATGTTACCAGTTCATGTAGTTGCTTTTTCTCCAACTCATTACATTTTGATACTGGAAACTTGTTTCCCCTGACACTCCAATCATCTCCACTGAGGATCATGGCTTCCGCAATCAACTTCTTTTCTTCATCAGATACTTTGCTGGAGAACAGTGAAAGAGGAACCATTTCTGTTCCAAGATACCACATGTGATTCTGCAATTTCTTCAAAGCTGCTTGTGAAACAATCTTGTGTACCTCAGCATATCTTTTTATTCTCTGAAACAGCATCAAATCATTCAATGGTGCATCACTTGCCACTGGACAAGCAATCCAAGCTGGTACATAAATGTGAGCTGCAAAAATGCAAAATTCAGACAGGTTTTTCACCTCAGTTGAAGTCAGTTTGAATTCATTCCTGAACAGGAAAATCTTCATGCAATATATGACCTTTGCCATCCATCTTGCCATATGGTAGGCACCCGGCTGTCTGAAATGATATGGCTTTCCACCAGCTGGATGGCTTGGTAGTGTGAAACCCAATATCAAGAGGCAAAGTTCAATCATTTCCTTGTAGTCCTCTCGTGGTAGATATGACGTTTGACCTGACAGAAAAGACAGCAAGAAAGGACCAAATTCTGCTCTGAGTTGTTGCAGCTGTGGAACTGTAAGTCGCGTATCATCAAGTGGAACAAAGTTCATTTGGTCAATAGTTGGCCAAGACTGCTGAAAACGTTCAAATAGAGCAATGTTTGGGCCACGGCTTGGGCCAAGCAAAACTGTGAACACTTCACCAATAATCACTTCATGCACGTGGTGTCGACAAGCTAAGTATAGAAGGTTTCTCCCAATTAGTTGTTCCAGCAAGACACATGCACCATTTTTGGAGCCCGTATTCGAAGCTGTGGTGTCAAAGCACATGCCAACGATTTCACTATCAACATCCCATATTTTGGCCAACTGGAATGTTGCCTTGGCTTGTGCTACCCCAGTGCCCGCTGGAAGCTTGACAATTCCCAAGATTTTCTCCAAATCTACACCAGTCACACTAACACCAATTCTGTCAACATTGGACTTTGGATCCTCTAAGTTCGTGCTGTCTCGCATGATTTTACCGTCCCAGTGGACCACCAGAGGCGGTTTTTCACTGGAGAGAAACTCCTGCCGAATACAATTTTCTGTTGAAGATCGGTGTTCAATACGTTTGCGACGTACTGTTGATCTTGACAATGGCGTGCTTTGTAGGTCCTGTCCACTGGCTTTAGCAATTGCTGCTGCCAAAATTGTAAACTTCTGGTCAGATAAATTTATGCGATCAAGTGTTGATGAAACATCTGGTGACGACAGAATGTTCTCCAAAATGCGTGGTCTTTTGTTAACTGTAGTCCATTCATGTCCAGCATCCACTACCTCACATAGCTGCTTCTTGTGATATACTGGTATCTCTATTTCGTAATCATCATCTTCAATATCCTCCTCTTCTGCTCCGTCACTGTCGCTTTCAAGACCATGATTGTGATGGCTGCTTCTGGCACTTGCATCTCTCCTTTCTTCCTCACGCTGTTTCCTTTCAGCTTCAGCCTGTCGACGCTGTGCTGCTCGCTCTTCTTGTTGTGATAATCTTACATCTTCTCCACTCATCTTCATCATGCGAGCATTCCGCTGATCCTCCAAAAACAGCTTGTCTTCATCGATTTTGATTAATGTACCTGTATCTTTGTGAGCAATATCAAAGAGTAGATTCAGTTTGTCTTTAAATGCTTTTTCTCTAGCTAGCTGTGATTCACTTTCTCTTCCTTTATTCTTCTTGATCAAACTGTATTCATCAAAGCATACCTTCACCTTTGACACGATATGTGGTTGATAGGTCATTGGTATCCGTGCCTTGCTCCAAATTTTTACCAAATCAGATGAGGTTGACTTTGCACTGGCAGATACTGTCTGTTTTATTGTTTTGTGGTAATGGAAAAATGTACGAAGAACATCGCCCGTTGTCGGAAGGACATTACTCGGTAGGTCCTTTTCAGGTTGACCAATCAGCCAAACAGCAGTTCGAGTGCGTGTCAGTGGTACAGCGTTTGACTTTGCAGCCATTTTCAGCAACAGTCTAAAATTAAGATAGAAGCATTTTAGAATTAATAACAAGATAGGCCTATTAATTCAATGAATTCATATAAAAATGATTTATTAGAATATATTTTATTATTTTTATAATGGATTCGGATTGTCACAAATAAAGTTTGAAACCCTACTAATGGTTCAACACAGCATTAAGCAGGTTGTCTATAGTTCCTACAACTGTTTAATAGAATGATCAAATAAATATGAAATCAGCACAAAGTAAGAAACTAATTGAAACTATTATAATTACCTTTATTGAGAGTTTACATCAATGTATTAAATAAATTCTGTATAAATTCACAAGTTTGCTGAAATAATTCTCATTTGCTACATTGACAATGACATCATCATAGAATATCTAAATTCTAAAAACACTAAATAAATAAGTAATGCAAATGCAATGGTGCTTTACAGTCAGTAACCTTATCATAAAGATTGGTCAAATGGACAGATTATTTTCTGTTGTTACAATTTTATCGCGGACTCGCGGGTAACCCAATGCTGATGCATATTGAAAAACCTTTGGGGCCATTGAGCAACCCCTAAATATTAATTGATTAGGGATCTTTTTGGAAACATGACTAAATATTGAAAAACGAACAAAATGAGCCTATGTGCACTAAAATCGGAAGAAATTTTTTTTCCTCCATGTATATGTGGACATCCCTAATATATATATATATATGTTATTATTTGTCTTGCGTGCGCGATTTAAAAAAATACTTGTTTTTTGTACCCTTTTTATTGAAATTAGATAAAAAAAAAAGATTTGTTGCAATTTAAAAACATGCCCAGAATTTTTTAGTTAGCTCTTAAAAAAGTGCCAGCTGTAGTATTGGTGGGCGTGTAGGCAAGTACAAAACTGCAAGACCGCAAAAGTGTTCATCAATTAGAGAAGACTGTGTATATATATATAGTATTTAGTATAGAGAGGGAGAGCTTTAAAGCTTTTTTATCCATTTATTTATTTAACCAAAAATATAAAAGTTACAAATGTTGTAATTTTTACGAAATCAGGTTAGGTGTCACTCATATAGTTAAAAACTAGTCCAATTATATTTATATAAATTTGTTTACCATTATTTCAGGCTGCAGTTACATTTGGTTTGGACAGTTTTAAACGCTCTTTGTTGCCATTTTTTCGCCAAAATACAGCAGAAATTTTTAATACAAGTTCGTTCAATGAGTTGAGCGAGGAGACATTAGCTTATATTCTTCAAGATGATGAACTCAATATGGATGAATATGACATTATAAAAGCTGTTGAAAACTGGACACTCGTAAATTCTGTAAGTTTTTATGTGTTTAATAAAGTTGTAAATTATAATTAATAAATAGTTACTAATTTATGTTTAATTAATAGATAAATCAAAGATGAAATTTTAAAATTTATTGGTAATAGTTGCACTTAAAAAAACTAGTTGAGAAGACAACATATAGTTTTAAAAGAAAGAAAAAACATTTCTAAACTTTACTTATTAATTTTTTATAAAATCCAAATGCTAAAAATTTGTTTATTAATTATAAATTATAGAAGGTTTTTTTAATACTTTTAACATTTATAGAAGCTTTATTTTTTAATACTCTAAATATTCATAGAAGCTACATTTTTTTAATACTCAAAACATTCATCCTTTTTTTAACAATTTAAGTGTTCCTTATGAAATAGCTTAACTTAATTATTGCATAAAGTGCAAATTAAACATAATATGTGTATAGTGAGTTAATAATGTTCTTAAATGAATTTTCTCTTCATAACCCTAAAGTTAAAGGTGTTAAAAACAAGTATTAACATATTCGCAAAAAGTGGTGAATCTCATCAAAACAATTAGTAGGAGAAACTAGAAATTGCATTACAGTGTGGTTCTAACCAAGGTAACTATTAGTAACCTAGGTAGTTATCAGAAAAGTTATAAAGCAATTTGATGCTTTATTTTAAAGTCTTTAAACAAAATCAAACATAATTCATTAGGTCCTTTATTGGCTATTTATTTATAACAGAAATAGAAATGCCAATCACATTATTACATATCACAACGCTGATCATATCATTACTTATCGCAATCCTGATCACATCATTACGTATCGCAATGCTGATCACATCTTTACGTATCGCAATGCTGATCACATCATTACGTATCACAATGCTGATCACATCATTACGTATCGCATGGCTGATCACATCATTACGTATCGCATGGCTGATCATATCATTACGTATCATAATACTGATTACATCATTACATATTGCAATGCTGATCACATCATTACGTTTTGCAATGCTGATTACATCATTACATATTGCAATGCTGCAATATGTAATGATCACATCGTTACATATAACAATACTGATCACATCATTACCTATTGCAATGCTGATTACATCATTACATATTGCAATGCTGATCACATCATTACATATTGAAAAGCTGATCACATTATTACGTATCACAATGCTGATCACATCATTACGTATTGCAATGCTGATCACATTATTACGTATCGCAAAGCTGATCACATTGTTACGTATCGCAAAGCTGATCACATCATTACGTATCGCAATGCTGATCACATTATTACGTATCGCAATGCTGATCACATCATTACGGATCGCAATGCTGATTACATCATTATGTATTGCAATACTGATCACATCATTATATATCGCAATGCTGATCACATCATTATGTATTGCAATGCTGATCACATCATTACATATTGCAATATCAGATAAATTTTTCCAGTTATCACAATAGATAAACAGCTAATTCCAGCAACTAACAATATTTACTTGTGTTTTAAAAAGTTCTTTCAAAGGTTATAATGAAGTTTTCACCAATATCATAAGGTAAGTACAAGTAATATTTTTCACAGGACATTTGGTGATTATTATGTTCAGTTGACTGGATAGACATATCTTCTTGACATTATTTGAGAAATGGATATTAATATTTGAAGAAATATTACTAAATATCATATCTAAATACATTTTGTAAACATATTTTCAAACTCAATGGATTAACTGTTTTAATTGAGTTTATAATTGTAGTCATAAAAAATCAACCAATAAATAAGTATTTTATTTATTAGGTTGCTTTGGATAAGCCTGCTAGTGAAGTGTCTCGATCAGTTGTATGCAATGTACGTTTACCACTCCTTTCATCTGATGAATTAGCAGAGATTGAATGTTTAAATGTAAAAAACCATTTTATACCTGTAAGTATTTTCTGTTATATATTTATATAAATGCTTTTCAATCATAAAAATAATATGTAACAGAGCAGTCTGGAGTTTTATGAGTATTGAAACTGAAATTGTTTTCTGTACTTATACAAATGAATATATAAATGTGAATTATGTAGAACAACAACTAGTCTGTTATTATGATTGTTTTTTTTGTTTGTTTTTTCACAATTTTTGTTTTTCATCTGTAAGTGTTGTATTTAACTGCTAATGTCTAAAACCTTTGGAGGAAAAAAACAGAGAAAGTACTTTGTAGTCATTCAGCTCAAATTTTAATTTTAAGACCAGGCTGAATGAACAAGGTAGTTTTATTATTTTTGTTCATGTGATCTGATAAAAAAATCACAGGCATGATAAATAGATAAATAACAAAATCAGTTTAAATTTAGTTTGAAAAATTTAGTTGTTGCTGGATTTGTGGGATTGTAAACTTTGTGACTCTTTTCTCCCCTTTAACACAACAGATTTTTAGTGTTGATGTTCAAATGAGCAGAGGGGATCATTTTTAGCAATATTCTTGTTCTAAAGTTCCAGTATTTCAAAGAATTGGACTCAATAAATTGAAGTCTATTTAGTTATGTATTATGGTTCAAAAGTTTATTCTTTTTGAAAGTTACTTGACTTTAAAAATTGATCAATGCATGATTAAAGCCACTTTTAGTTTGCATAATCACAGGAGGCAATGTTAAAGGGTTAAGTACCTTTAATCACCAGTTTCAAACAGTGTTTCATATTTACAGGTCGTGGTAACTTCCCTTTGAGTTAAAACTTTGATTGAACGGGGTTTCAAACTCTTGATTAAAATCTGTTGGCAGTAGGGCTGATAAAATTGTTGTTATAAATTGCAGTTAAAGAAACATTTCTTGTTTTTTAATAAGTATGGTATCAATAAATAAAATTAGTCTCTTTACCACCCTAATTATTCATTATAAACTACAAGATCTATTTGTTTTATCTTATTCAAAGTGTATAAGATTTATTTTTTTTGTCCTTTGATTTTCTAGAACAATTAGAGGAATTTTTTAAATTCCTCTAATTGCTCTAAATTCTACAAATTTTCTTTTCTTTTTTATCAAATTTAAAAATGAAGCTGAAGATCTTTGTATTTTGATAAAATCTAAAATGTTCTCAACAAATGTTCTCTTTAAATTTTTGGCTTTAAGCTACTAAATCTTATTTTTTCCATGAAATTATTATTTTTAAAATCTAGTTTTAGTCAAATGAAAAGGAAAACTCTGAGGAATCCTTTCTGTTAATCTTATTTAATAAAATCTAAACAATTTTGATAAAAATGTTTTGATTTTTTGTAATAAAAACTATTGTTGCAAGTTCTTCAACATATGCTAGAAACATGCAATACATGTTGGAGACCTTTTTTTCTATACACCCATTTGTTCCTTACTACATACACATAAAATGTAGAAACCATTAAATTATAACTAAAAAAATATTACTCAACTTTATTTCATAGTAGTTCCTTAACAAAAAATCTTGGGTATTTTGCTTAATAAAAAATTCTTTACAAGCCTCTGTACTACTAATGAAATAATTGTTTTTTAATTTTTTGATATCAAAAAATTAAATATTTTTATGTTGATAACTTTAAAAAAAAAATCAGGGATGTGTTTTGTGTTTTAAACAAAACACATCCCTGAATTTAATGAACACAATAAAATGTTTAAAAATGAAATAAGTTACATGGTCACATAATAGTGGTTTTTAATAAGCAACATATTAATGGTATACCACAGTCAAATGTTCTAAGTAACCCATAGTCTATAGGTCTAACCTAAAATATTAAGATATTAGGAATATTTTAGAAATGTTTTTTTTTTAGATTTAAGGTAAACTAGTATTGCAAAACATGGAATTTAATTTTTTTTTTTTTTTGTTAGATTGAGCAAATATCATTAGCTTGGAAGCATATTGCACTTAAAACTCCACTAAATGCATCTTTTGAAACTACACCACGTACTGGAACTCGCATAAGATGAATATTTTACAATTATTTTTAACTTTTTTTATAAATATTTATGTGAACATATTTATAGTTTAAATAACGACAATCACTGATTGATATTTAAATTTTATGTTGGATTTTTTATTTAAATTTTTTTTTAAATGATTTTGGTAAAAATATATATATATAAAATATAAAAACAACACACTAACTCACAAAAGCAACCAATCAAAAGCACACTGCAACCAACAGTTTACAGATTATACATAAACATTTAAAAATTTAGAAAATGGCAACATGGTATTGACTCTTTAAGCATACAATAGTTATGTATTGCTTTTAGTTATATTATATAGTTTTATGTTAGTTATACAAAATAATATAGAACTATGTTATTATTTTTTATGTACATAATGGAATATCAATGAAATATAAAAGCATAAAAGTATTTTAGTATTTAGTTTTCAAAAAGAATTTAATGTTTTTCAATCCCCACCAATCAAGTCTAACCTTAATTGCAGAGTTAGTAGAAATATTTTGCTCACTGACTTTGTGCTATATCAACAAATAATTCCTCAACATCTTTGTCTTTCAATATAATTATTTTTGTCTTTTGACATTGTCTGCCTAGAGATTAGTCCTGAGCCTAGAGATTAGTCCTGAGCCTAGAGATTAGTCCTGATATAATTGTCTTTAATGTTATCTCTACAATATTTTTAAGATTAACATAATTTTTTTAATTATAAAACTAAAATTTTTATGTGCCTTAATAAAGTCACATAATCCCTGACTTTTGAAATTCTCAAAAACTAGCAAAGCATTTTTTGGGTATTTGATTTTGCATTGCCTTTAATTTGAAAAATTTTAATTTACTTTAGCTTCCTGTTTTCTTATATTTTCTGTCTGTAACAATCAGATGATATACAAAATCTATATTTCCTATCCAGTTTTTTTACTTCCTTTAGAGCATTTTAAGAATTATTGCACAAATAAGCTTTTTGTTGCTTGTAATTTATGCGTTTTGTCTCCTTTAAATTATACTTTTTGTTGCTTGTAATTTAAGCGTTTTGTCTCCTTTAAATTATACTTTTTGTTGCTTGTAATTTATGTGTGTGTACAAGTTAAAAAAAACTACAAAATTGGTGATTAAATAACTGTTTTTTAAATATAAAAAACAAATTACATTTCCATGTAAATTTTTTACATAATTATAATCAAAATTACTTTTCAAAGTAAATTACATTACATGACTTAACATTAAAAGTAAGTTACATTTGTAAGTAAAAGTAAACAGTCTTTTAATGCAAATTATTTCACTTGTAAAAATAAATTACTCTTTTAAGTAACTTTCTCTCTTAAAAAACTAAACTTAAGTTTTATATGTTTTACAATATTATAGCTTCTTTTTTTTTTCATTAATAGTAAGTCATGTATAGTAATTTAATTTGAAAAGTAATTTTAGTTATAATTATGTAAAAAATTTACATGGAAATGTAATTTGTTTTTTATATGTAAAAAAAGTTATTTAATAACCAATTTTGTAGTTTCCTTATATTGTTTCCTTATTTCTCATATAAATTTTTGATTAGATTTTTGTTTTAATATGTTAAATACTCATTATTGTGTTATATACAAAAGTTATTTGTATAAAACAATCTGAATCACTTTTTAATTATTTTAGTACAGTACAATCTGACTAATTCAAATTTTATGGGAGAAAAAAAAAGTTAGAATCAGAGAGATTTTCCAATTATAGAAAGATGACTTTTTTTTCCGAATATTCTCATCAAAGTTACAAATATAAATGAGTTAAACAAACAAATAGTTATTCTTAAGCCTAAATGCAATATATATTATGTGTTTTAAAATTTTATATTTCAAAAAAAAAAAAACATTTGTTGATTGTCTTTTATGAGCTTATAAATCCATGTCAATGACAAGATTTATGTCTTTAAAAAAAAAATGGTAATGATTTGGTAATGGTGGCCTAGATAATGATTTTTTGATAAATAAACCTTTTTTAAACATTAGTTTTGGTTAAAATTAAGAATTAAATTTTTGAAAAGCAACTTAGTTGACAATTTTAAGGCATCTTGACACAAGTTTCAAAGTATCTTGACAAAGTTTCAAAGTATTTTGTGTATCGTTTCATAGTTTAATAGTTTATTTACAAACAACTTTTGTTCATATCTGTCTCTCTTGGCCTTAAGAATATAAACAACATTTATAAAAAAAAAAAAATTACTTTATTAAGTTTTATAAAAATAATTTCAAAATATTTTAAAAATTAAAATCAGGTTTAAAATTAAAGTCAGGTTTAGTTACATCATCATTTTGATTGACATTCTTGTTTATTTGTTTTTTACATTTAATGATTTATTAACTGATTTCTTTTTTTAAAAAAAAAAATTAAGTTTACTATCCCTTAAAAGATAATAAATGATTTCAAACAATGAAAATGGAGTTATGGAAGACAGTTTAAATGATAGAAAAAGACAGCAATTTGGTTCTAGATTTTTAACAGAAGAAGCTGATGTGTTTCAGCATAATGCTTGGTACATTCAAATCTATAAATCTATTTTTATATTTTTTGTTAATATTGTTTTTATTTTTATTATTATTGTTTTTATGTTTACTTTAAACAGGGATGATGTAGAATGGGATTCAGATTTAGAAGACAAAGCTAAACAAAAAATTCAGTTCAATTCAACGGTTACATTTTCTGCTGAAGAATTAGGTATACTGTTATTTTTAACTTTTAAATTTTTTAAAGTTATGATTGAATAAATTTAACTTTCTTATACACATGGAGTTTCCATTTAGGTTAATAAAAGCCTAAAGTTAAAGTGGACATTTTCACTTATTCAAATCATTTTGCAATGAAAAGTTAAAGCTGTTCAAGTATTTTTGAAAAAATCCTTTGAAAATGTTTTACTGTGTTGTTTTTTACATTTTGGTTTTTACAAAGTGTTCTCACTCGCATTCAAAGTAATTTTAAAACTAAGTGCTTTCTTCCTCGCTCTTCTTCAGCTTTCTCCCTTATTTTTCTTCAGCTTTCTTCCTCATTCTTCTTCAGCTTTCCCCCTCATCAAAAAAACTAAAAACCTACTCTGTTTCCAAATTTACATTTTTTTTTTTTTAGTTTTTTGTTGTAAATGCTTTAATGACTTTAACATTAACCTCTTGGTTGATAGTTTTTGTTATAAATGCTTTAATGACTTTAACATTAATCTCTTGGTTGATAGTTTTTAAGCTAAAATGTTGTAGATGTTTAAGTGGCTGCAACAGTCTTTTAAAAGTTAATTTCAGAGAAACAATTTTTTAACCTAAGTAAAAATTTTAATTTGGACATGGTAACACCATCTGCATGTGTGCAATTAAAAAAGATAAACTTCAAAATATTTCAATTATTTTGAATGCTTTTAAACTTAAATATTTAGTCTATTTATCAGAAAAATTTTTAGTTTATATTATTCATATCTATCAGAACCATTAGTATATATGTATCAGAATGTCCATATGTATCAGAACCATTGTCTATAACATTTTACAATCTAATAATTTTTATAATAATATGTTTTAGGTTTTCTATTAGAAGGTTTATCATTTGTTGTTTATATTTTTAGAACTGTATGAAATTGAGGCTGATAAATATTGGAATTCATTCTATTGCCAACACCAAAATAAGTATTATTTTAATATTGTATACATTATGTGAATGAATAAATGTTCATATTTGTTAGTAATTTTATGGATATTTGGTTGTGATAAGAGCGCTTTTTTTTTAAACAATGGAAATTATCTTGTTTTTCTGTAAATCAACCTTGTTACTTAAGTTTTGTCTTTTGCAATTATAGAGTTGTTAACGATTACAATTATAGAGTTGTTAACAATAAATAAAGTGATGAAATTTTTTTCAAATAAAAGTGATGACTTTTTTATCATTGAAAGCAAAATAATATAAAAAACTACAAGCATCCTAGTCGCAGTTAAGTTAAAATCTGTCTGATATCAGCTGACGATAAGCATGTTGAGAGCTATCTGATACCTGAAAATATTATATCAGAAATAAAATATTATTGTCATTGTATTTTTAATTAAGCTTTTAACAATAGTTTAGAAATTACTGTCCTTACTGAAATTACAATATAACTTGTTAAATAACACTCGCTGGTATGGCAAGTTGGCTTGCAAAATAAAACTAATGGACGTTGCTAGATTACTTTTCTAAAATTCAAAAATATTAATCTTACTTTAAATTCAATTGTTCATGTAATTTTTTTTTTACTTCATTTGAATATTGTTACAATCATTTTTATCTATTTATAAATATATATACTTTTTTTTTTTACTTTTAATAGACTTAGTAATGAGCATTAGTTTTTTTGTACTGCAAATTTTTGTTTATGGTTAGTTCATACAAAATCATTAAGTGTTCATGAAATTATTTCAATGGCTTTTAGATCCTTAAAACAAATTTCAGAGGTAGTTTGTGTTGAGTAATCTGATGAAATAAGTGCTTTTTTTTTGATGCACTTTCTAAATGTTTTTCAGAAGTGTTGTTTTTATAGGTAGACAGGTCCTGAAGGTTCATCCGCATTATTTTTATCAAATATTGACTACTCCCACTTGTCACAATCTGTTGCATGTGTCTGTAAGATATGCTTGTATGAAGGAGCTTCCAGCTATAGTGAAGGCAACTTAGCTAGTGAGGAAAAGCTTTTTTGCAGAAGGAGCTTGTAAACCTTGATTGTAAATCTTCTTAGTTGGAGTATCACAAAAGATGTACAGTCTGGAAAACAGGTTTAACACCAGAGTGTCATATTGTGTTAGAAAATATTGGTTCATTTTTCTTTTAAATGGTGTATTTAAATTAAAAAAATGGCGTTATGGAAATTTGTTTAAACTACTCAAGTGTGAAACAAGGGGCATTAAACTTCTTTTTTTTTAATTTTAAACTTTTTTATCGTCTTTATAACTTCAAAACACAAACTTTGATATGCATAAATGTTTTAAAGAGAAATGCAATAGCACAGCTACACCAGTAACATGTAATGAATCCTCTAAAATCTAAATTTTTTCTAGTACTTTTTTTTTTCAATTAGAAAAATGTGATGACTAAATAAAACTAATAAAATAAAATGAATACAATGAATAAAATTAAAAAAAAAAAGCCTTATATAACAGATATGCTTTGATTAAAGATTATAATTTAAAAAATAATAATTATATACTTATAAAGGAAAAAATAGCACAAAATTTTTTTTAAATAACAATTATTCTTAAAGGTTCTTTAAAGATCGACAATGGCTTTTTACTGAATTCAATGAGTTAAACAAAGTACTTAGACCAGTTGGTGAAGAGGTTGGTGAAGAGGTTGCAGAAGAATGTAAGACACAGTGTAGCATTAATGCAGATAAACTCAAAGATGAAGTAAACCTTTACAATGGATGTCAGACTAAAACTAGGATTTTAGAAGTTAGCATTTTTAAAAAGTTATTCCTTCATATTTTTTGAGCTTGCTTTAAAATACTATTTCAATAGTGTCAAGGAGGGTTTTTTTTTTACAGGTTGGTTGTGGAGTTGGTAATACTGTGTTTCCCATTCTTCAAACAAGCAAGTATGTGTTTTCATTAAGTTTTTTTGCTAATTTATTTTTGCACAAACTAAGTTAAAAACCAAGTAAACCAAAATACCATTAAGTATGAACATTTATATTTAAAGAATGTATTTTGATTTAAATATTATAAACTAAAACAAGTTTGCAGTGCCATGAGTACCAAAGTTAAATTGTTCTTTTCCCAGCAGTTTTGTTTTTCAAGGTTTATTTTTCAAGGTCTTTTTTTTTTTTTTTTTTGTTGTTGCTTACTTAAGTTTTAAAGTGATTGGTTAATGTGATTGTAATATAATTATAAGATAAATTTGTTTTTTGTTTTTTTTGAAAAGAAAAAAAAAAGAATTTAGTGTATTGGTACAGTAAAAATAGGAGTGTTTTTTTTAATAATATTGGTTCTAAATTCAATAGAAATAATTCTAATCTGGATTTTAAATAATTCTAAACACTGTGTTCTACAAACAATACAAGCTTAATTATTTGTTGGAATATAAGTCATAAATTATAATGCTCTGAGTTCATTATAATATTTGGAAAATAAAATTCGGAAAAAGAATTTAGTTCTTTTAAGACTGTTCATTATTTGGATAATTTTATTTTTAATAGTACTTTGATAATTGTAAAGCACTGATCACATCACTGATCACATCGATGATCACAAGATATGATAAATGTGAACACTGCTTTGAGTAGAATTTTTTTTAAATCTTCATTACATCCTCCTTGGACGTTATCACTCATCATCTTAATTGATATCACCATCAGATCAAAAACCTCTGAAGTATGTGTATCAATATATAGTATATTACTCAAGTAATTGCTGCCAGGAAATAAGTATTGTACTAGAAGAACTGTGAATTAGTTTAAGTTGTTAGTTGTTTTACTTTGTTGTGACTTTTGCTCTATTTATAAACTATAACTAACAAAATATTTGTGTAATTTTGGCGTGATAACGCTGGATTATAAAATTAATATAAAGCAAGCGTGAAAAACGAAAAACTTATTGTTGCCACTGTTTTTTCTTAATTACCTGCTATAATTATAAACATCTGTTCAACATATTAACTATTTCATTGATACTTTTTTAAATATAATTAATCACTTCTTTTTACTCAGGCTTTAACAGCTAAATTTGTTTCTCTAGAGACTCGACTTGTTCTAATTGCAAACTTTATATAGAGGTATAAGAAAGTCTTTTCATATAATTGCAAACTTTATATAGAGGTATAAGAAAGTCTTTTCATATAATTGCAAACTTTATATAGAGGTATAAGAAAGTCTTTTCATATAATTGCAAACTTTATATAGAGGTATAAGAAAGTCTTTTCATATAATTGCAAACTTTATATAGAGGTATAAGGAAGTCTTTTCATATAATTGCAAACTTTATATAGAGGTATAAGAAAGTCTTTTCATATAATTGCAAACTTTATATAGAGGTATAAGAAAGTCTTTTCATGTAATTTTGTTTTGTTTTTTTTTAGCAACCCAAATCTTTTTATATATTGTTGTGATTTTGCTGAATCAGCAATCCAGATTTTAAAGGTTTGGAGTTTATTGCTAAATTTTTTTTTTTTTTTTTTCTATTTTTTTTTTTTTTTTTTTATAATTTTAGTTCCAAATTTATTTCTCTTAAAGGAACATCCGTTATACAATGAAAATAGATGTCATGCTTTTGTGTGTGATGTGACTGCTTGTTCATCTTTTCCATGTCCTGAAAACTCCTTAGATTTCATTATACTTATCTTTGTACTTTCTTCAATTCATCCTGACAGGTAAGAATTTTGATACAACTTTGCAATTCATAAAAGTTTAAAAAAATTTATTTTTATAGGTGTTTCAAAAATAATGGATGACAACAAATTTAACCGAGCTCATCAGCGGTTTTTAACTTTTTTTTTTTTAATTACACTTGAAGTGGGATTTTTCAATCAAAATTGAACCATTCAAACAATTATGTGAAAATAAATTAAATCATATAAGCAATTATGTGCCAAATATGTAAGCTTCATATTGGGCTCACAACTGTGTTCATAAAAAAAACGTCTTTATAATTCTATTTTGTTTTGACTTGTATATTTGAAATTTTATGTGAGTGTTATCAATATTAAAGTTAATGCGGTAGTGGTGTAGTCGTAAAACACTCGCTTCATAAGCGAGAGGTTCGGAGTTCAATCCCCACCACATCCCTGGTAGTACCGCACTCAACTTGTTTCTCCGCGCAGCGGCCTTGTTCGTCAAGGTTCGTGTTTTGGAGTTATAGAGTTGAGAGAGGGTTATAGCCACTATTAAGTAGCCTCCTCGTCTGTAGTGGTCTTCTTGGCCTTGAGGAGGTGAATAACAAAAAAACAAAAAAAGCAAAAAAATCTATTATTGGTCATAAATTTTTGAAACAAGAATAAGACTTGAATTATCATGTCCAAAAAAAAAAATAGTTTGAATTTAACTTGATGGTGTTAAGAACAAAATGAATTTTTATACAAAATTTGTAAAATGCTTTTCTATATAGGTTAAGCAATTTTTTTATTTCATAATAATTTTTATTTGTGTATTTATCATCTTATATTAATATTAATTTTAAAAAATAATTACAACCCGATCTTGTATATATATATATATATATATATACATATGTATATATATGTATATATATATATATATACATATGTATATATATGTATATATGTATATATATGTGTGTATATATATGTGTGTGTGTGTGTATATATATATATATATATATATATATATATATATATATATATATATATATATATATATATATATATATATATATATATATATATATATATATATGTATATATATATATATATATATATATATATATATATATATATATATATATATATATATATATATATATATATATATATATATATATATATATATTGGTCCATTTGACCATTGTATAACATGTGTAGACCTCGGCTATCGCATGTGATGCAGCCCCAAATACCAACTGCACCACCTCCACCTTGCAGCATTAGTACAATACATTGAATATTAAACTTTTTATTATAATGTCTTCAGTCAATCCGCAGTTTATGGTCTATTATTCTTCCATTAACTTGATATTTGATTTTTAAGTGCCAGGTTTATTTCTAGTGCAGTCTGTTTTGCTGCGTATTCAAGATTTTTTCTGGCAATTCCAGCTTTTTGTTACTACAAGTTTCTTTAAATTTGCCAATAGTTCTACTTACATAAGAAAGTAAAACTTTAATTTCTGAGATATTTCAATATTAGAGTGGCCTCCCGATAATATGTTGTTTGATTTCTTAACTTATTGTTTTTTTCCCATGGTAAATTTTTAGACTATGATTATTCTAATCTAGAATTAAGCAAAAATGATGAAATAATATAAAATTATTTTATTAAAAAATTTAGTTTACTTTGATGCAACTTTTTTAAAATACCAGCTATTATATGTACTTAAAAAAAGAGATGTGCTTAAGCAAATTTTTATTAATTGACTTAACTTCATGAGGCTTGGCCTAATTAATTGATATTGAGAAAAACAAATTTTTTTAAAGCCTTCACTGATTGAAAAATAATATATAAGAAAAAATTTAATTTAATTCTGCTGTATGCTAAACTTTTGAGCACTACTGTATATATATTTTTTTGATAAACTGTTGAAAAGCGTGCAATTCGTCTTTTTGTAATAACTCCAAAAATTTCTTTTTAACTAAATCCAAAAATAATGAGGGGTCAGGGCAATAACATCCGTTTTTGCCATGTATAATAACATCCGTGAAATAAAATCCGAAATTTCATCCATGTATAATAACATCTGTGCAACAACATCCCGAATTTCATTGATGTATAATAACATCCGTGCAACTACATCTGTAGATTTTTCGGATGTAATCTGAATTTTTTTTAAATGCATAACTTTAACCAGATGTAGTTACACATCTGATTTCTTTCGGATGTAACTACATCCGGAAAAAAAATCTATAATAATACATTATATAACCAGATGTAGTTACGAGTTTAATTTTTTTTCGGATGTAACTACATCCGAAATCTTAAAAATAGACTCTGTTTGTTTGCAAAAACATAATAATATTTAAAATACGATCAATATAGATAGTTTTCATTGCCAAAAATGTAGATCTTTTTTTATGGAACAGTTTAGACTGCTTAGAACACTTAACTTGGATATTAAAGCTGGACATCTTTTGGACTCATTGGCATCTAAAAATTCATCAAACTACTTTATTAAAACTCTGTCTTTATCCTATAATGAATAGACCCCTATGAAAAAGAGCTATTGCTTTCACTCACGGGCTGCCAATTTGACATGCCTGTTTTAAACCTATTTTAAAAGCAGAAAAGCCAGTCATCCACTGCCTATGAGAGTAGGATGTGTCAACTTTTACTTTTTTTACAATTTCAAAAATGGCAAGGTGACTTTTGGTGAAAAATTTTACGGGGATTCCAAATCTGAAAAAAAAAAATAAAAAAAAAGTATCGTCTTCTGGGTGGCTCGGCGTTGTTTTAAATGGAAAAATGACTAAAATATGACTAATTAACGAGGGGAAATTTTAATTTAAAAAATATTTATTTTTTCAAAATATTTGAAATATGTAATAAATATTATGTTGAATTTTAAGAGAATTTTATATTTAGTTCAAAAAGTAATAAAAATGAACACATAAAGTGAGTTTTTGTAAAAGGTGTTTTAACAAAAATTAGGCAGTTTTTCATATTTTAAACAGTGAATGTGACAAATTTTTTAAATAAGCGGAGTTTATTATTTTGAAGAATTTCACAGGGATTCCGAATCTACAAAAACCAATTAAAATCATAGGCAGCCGCTGCTTGTCCAGGGCGTTTGGAGAGGCCAGCTTGTAAGGAACAAATTCCTTTTTCTTAGTTAATAATAATTTTTTATTGAATTATAAAAAATTGAAAATTTTGCAATATGGACGACTGTTTTTATTTTCTTTTTGCGTCCATATCTAAGTTTACAAAACTTTTTGAAAAAAACAAAACCTGATGCGGTATCACAAAATGAATTAGACTGCTCACCATGTGGAAGCAATCATAGGGATTTGTTGAATGAAGATCTTAATAAATAGTACTAAAAGGTCTGTAACTTCTTTTGGAAGAATATAAGTTTTATTTTTAAATCTTGTACTTAAAGATAATGTACTTATAATTGGATCTGATGAGTTCATTTCACGTGTAAATACATCAAATAAATTATCTTGTGAGCATGTTGTAGCTAATCTTTTTTAGTGATTTTGTTGCGACACTTTAGTGCTTCTTCTCCCAAAACCCCTACGGGAACAGGAGAATTTAAAATAATTTAAAACCTTATTATGCTTTGTAAAAAGCATCAGTGATTGGGAACAAAAAATATTCCTAAAAGAGGGCAATAAGATATCCTATATTATACAAAATATAATTTCATCAACAGGTTTTAAATTTCATCTAAAAATTGTTTTGGGTTCGAATGTTTTGACCATTCAAAATTTACAATCCCCTCAATGCATTGAAGGGTTGTAAATTTTAAATGGTCATAACTATCGAACGCTTAAAGATTATTAGATAAAATTTAAAACCTGTCAATGATTTTAAATTTAGTGTAAGATTGTCAACTTAAATATTTTATTAACTCAATGCCCTGGCGTTTGAGCCAGGGGCGGTAAATTTTTTGATGTGTTTTGTCCGCAGACTCTAATTAAAGTATTTTTTTTTTAAATATTATATTTTGAAATAAGCATGAACTTAGTTTAAAAAGTTTATAAACTGCCCTAAAAATATAATCTGAAACATTAAAAAAATTGAATCTGCTACTAAAAACAGTTGTAGAAAAATTTTACAAGGACCTTGCATGACTAAATATCAATTATTTCAAAAAAGGGCAAAAAAGGGCGGCTAAATTTTTCACAAATATTTTTCAGAGCATGTATAGCATTATTAAATGATGAAACCACATTGTAAAGAATTGTAATTTAGTTTTCCTGCTCCACCAAAGTTGAAACATTCGATGATTTTGTGATATTTTTTTATATTTTGGCCTTACTTGCACAACTGCATTCGAATTTTTATTAAAATACTTCAACGATCAAATGCTAGTCTCAAGGATCTTTCCATCGATGTATATATGTCTGGAAAAATATTAAAGTATTTCCATATAAATTGGACGAAACATCACCCATAAAAGTTCTCTTGAAGCACACTTTTGTCCAAATAGTTTGACTTAGAACATAAATATTTCATAATTAATATTTTAATTTTTTTTTTACTTTTTAACATATTCATATTAATTTCTTTAGCTTTTCAATTTACCACTTGAAAATCCAAAAAACTTTTTTTAATTTTGGCTACCCTTCTTCCCACTGTGCGCTGTACTCTATCTAACTTTAGAAAAAAATATTCAATTTCTAGATATTTATGAGGAAAAATCCAACATTATAAAAATCCAGGGGTGCATGTTTATATTGATAATAAGAGGACTGAGGGGCCCTCCACTTGCCAATTTTTAAATATAAAATTTTAGTCTAGCATAAAATTATACAAATTTTTGTTTATATTTCCGCCCCCCCCCCTCCCTCATCTTCACAAATAATACGGAATACATACGGAATACTATAACAACGCTTACTCAACTTTAACTTAAACAACGCTCACACAACTCTAACTTAATCACTGAATAATACTCCCCTCTTAAATACCATTCTTCAATACTGGACATCTGTCCAAATATTATACATTATCTAACACTCCCTTGCACTTATATAA